ATCGTCTCTATCTGCGTGGAAAAAATTGAATGAACCACTTAAACAGAATACATATACCAACAAATTCGCTGTCTCTTCCTATTCCTAAGCATCGTGCAAGGGGAAGATGTAACGCCTTAATTTCCTTAAAAAATTTTCCCCCGCGTACGCTGAATATTGACTGATATGTAATAACGGAAATCCAAGGTACAGAATGTAAAAATGGACATATCGGCACGGTACAATGCAAGAACAAAGCATGTATGGATCGGTAAGAGAAATAGCAGAGTGCGAGGTCAACGAAAAAAATTCTATCAACCGATCGGGCCCAATTGTGAATCTAAACCGTCCAGCCGTCTAGGAGGAGTCACAACCACGTACCTACAGAAGAATTTTATACATAAAGATAAATGGTTTTATGTTAATGTAATGAAGAAAAGGGGGGGGGGGATTTTCCTAATTTCCGCCTGCGTGGATCCACTCCTGCCTGAGAGTCTGGGAGCCTAATATCCCACGGTGCAGATATAAATTTGCTGGGCGATCTGTGCAATATTTTTTACGTACAACTGAAAACGGATTGACGGCCAAGCGAACAAAAGATACCACATTAGCTGCTTTTGAAGCTGTTTATTTTCCTAGATTTAACATGATTTTGAATCACGCTTATGTCCGTCTGTCCTGCGACTGTCCATCTGTTCCCCGTCGAACTCGAGAACGAAAAGAGACAGCGATGTCAACCCTCCGCCAATCTACGAGTTCAAAGATCAGTGCAAACATTTTTAATGCTCTACTCTGTATAAATATTTAACGGCACGTTAAACATTTCAACATTAAAAAAAGTCATCTAAATCAAACCCATCTCAGAGGTGTAAGATTTGATACGATTCATTGACTCCACTAGTAGAGGAAGTTGAGAGTTCTCCATGTGCTTTGAAATGAAAAAAAGGTGACTTGATTATTGTACAGGTCAACTTGATTTAGTGCTATTTAGCGATGACCAAGAAGGTCGCTGCTTCGTAATCAGATTCGATCATGGAAGGAGACAGTTGACTATAGAAGAATCGGCATGCTTACTTTAACAAAAACAAAAAAATTGCTATGGCTGCCCAAAAGCTTTTCAGCGGTTCAGTGGTTTACCCGGAAATGAGAGTACCGACCGACATCATTGGAGATTTTGTTTGATTCGGACTCCTGGTGCTTCAAAACGTGTATTTCCCTAAAAAGAGTGGGAGGTCATTTTTACTCCTATGCAATATACCGCCCTTACTAACGTGCGGGCGGTAAAAAACAGACCTAAATGAAGTTACCGGTGCTGCATGTGAAAAAACGGGATATTAAGATGGTGCTTATTAAGTCTGTAATAAGTGACAATTTTACCGCATATGTGTAAAAGCATGATTTAACAAACAATTAATGACGAGGAAAATCAACGTGTACTAGAAATGTACTGAAAATCAAGAATCAGCCATTTTTTAATCTACCTATTATTTGGCTCTTGCACCAAAATTTGTACAAACAATATAGTATAGTGATTTCTAGAAAAAAGTACTGCTTTTGAAATAATTATTTTATTTATTCTCAAACAACTTGTTTAGAATTAGCTGTAAAAAATTGTTCACTCGGATATGAAGTAATTACAAACGAATTTTTTACACTAGAAACTATTTGTAATATACCATTTTTATAAGTGTTTGAAGATAAAAGTTTCTGCTATGAGAAAATTGCCAACCGTTAATTGAAACCGAGACTGAAACATAGATTTTCAATAAACGAGAAAGTTAATAGTATCTATTGTAGTCTGGAAATCGTTCAATATACACAAATGGTATAATAAATATAGAAAATGCATGTGCAGATTAACCTCTGAGATAAATTATATAAATGTATAAATTATTGAAGAAGCCACTCTGCATGATATGCGAGAAGTAGGTACACCTATACAGCTGCATGCAAGCTACATATAAACATTGAATTTATTCAATGATATAACTAAATGTTAGAACGACTGCTTGTTCTTAAATCGCTGTGTAACATGCCTACATCTTTATAGAAAGTAGAAATGATGCTATCAACCTACTCAACATTACAACATTGGAAACACGATTCTGATAATGTTTACAATGTTTAAGTTAAAACGACAGTCAAAGCGAAATCAACATGTCAACTGGAAGCAAAAGTAACAACCTTAAAGGTCCAAAGGCCCATAGGCATAAAATGAAAGACTAAGTTAACAAAATACGCATCCTTTACTCATTATCTCTACTCATATCAAGAACATACCATTCATATCTACTTCTGACGACACAAACAAGTTATATGCTATTCCGGATAAAAAGGAGTAATCCCAAATCAAAACCTTGAGGTATCCTTCCATTTGCCGTGTAAAATGGATAGTCTCCAAAGAGCTTTCCATTGTCGTTAACAGATGTATTGAGGATAATAGTAAAAAATGTGTGGTATACACTCTTCTTTTTTACCGCTGCAGTTTTAAAACTACCACCCAAAAATAATAAGTGAAGGAAAAATTTTACTTCTTTTATAAAGAGTAACTTTAATTTATGAATAGACATCAACAAGAAACAACCTAGCATTCAGGAGCTTTATAATCATATTCTAACATGTCCCTTTAAGAAATAAGAAACCTCAAGTCAAGATTTCGTGCTTTGCAAGAAAGCACAGGCAAAATTGTCTGGTGGTGATATAAAAGGAGCGCTTCATTTATTAGCTTCTCAAGATGTAATAGCACCAAATAATGAAGTTCTACGTCAGAAGCATCTCACTACTTTGAAGAATTCTTCCCCACACCTCCAATATCAATAGATAATTGTCTTCCCTGACCACTCTCTGAATCCGACGCAAGAATTGCTTTATTTAAGTTTCTCAATGGTTTTGCTGGAGGCGTAGATGCTATTACACCGCAACATCTTAAGGATCTAACGGCAAACGAATTAGGTGAAACCGCAAGTGATCTTATCACAGCATTATGCAATTTATGTAACCTAGTAATGTTATATGGTAAAGTTCCTGTTCTTATTTGCCCTGTACTATACGGTGCAAACTTATGTGCACTTAAGAAGAAAGATTGAGGTATTGGTCCAATAGCTGTTGGATACAATGTTAGAAGACTTTTAGCAGAAATTATTTGTCGCAAAATATCCACCGTATTCGGTCTTTTATTCCGACCCTATCAGCTAGGTCTTGGAACCAAAGCCAGTGTTGAAGCGGGAATTCACTCTACTTAACGTTACATACAATACCCTCACAATTCAACTATTGAAAATTTACTTTATGAACGCTTTCAATATGAACGATAAATTAGTTATAATATTGTATAATTGTATTGTCATAAAAATTTGCGATTTTTTAAACGCTGGGCTATCGTAGCATAGCATAGCACTAAGATCGTAGGTAGCAATATCATTAGAAACAGAAATATCAAAAATGAAAAAGGAACTCATGTTTCCGTGTATAAATAGTCCATTGAAATGTTACATTTTTTTGGGCTTAGCATGCGTTTGTCAGAGGACGCAATTTTATTTTTTAGATATCAAGGGGAGGGGTTAGTCTAAAGTTAAATCCAAGTTTGTGTGTTTGTGTTTGTGTGAATAAAATTGAAAAAGTTTGTAATGAAAATTATTCATTCAAAACCCCTCTATTAAAATGCTCTGATGTCGTTTTTTTGTAAAATGACCAGAAAAAAAGTTATAACGACCAATTGAAAATTATTTACAAAATGTTCATCAATTTTCGTTTATAACTTTGTTATTTTTGGTTCTACGACTAAAAGTTACTGGACGAAAGTTATAGAGAATTTTATTTTTATTCAAAAATGTCTGAATACATTTTTTGTGAGACCAATAGTTTGTCAGATAAACCATAAAAACCATTTGCACCCCTTTTTTCAAGATGGCGGCCGCGGGACAAGGGCTGCAACCCCACAAACACGGATTTAACTTTAGACTAACCCCCCCTTGATATCTGAAAAATAAAATTGCGTCCACTGATAAACGCAACCCCAAATGTAACTTTTCAATGGCGTAAAGGCCATACTAAAATCAGACATTGGTGATTAAGGCGTTATTTGATCGAAAATGTACTTCATCTTGCGATTACAAAATATTGTCGCCCGTTGTGAGCACTAGTGTAAATTTGGATACAAAAATATACAAAATTGATTGTCTGGATTTCTAAATATAGAAATTTCGTAAACGAAATATATTATAAAAATCGTCCAACCACTCAAATAAATTAAAATACGTTTCCGAAATTCGAACAGGTTTACGCTGAATATTTATTAATGTGCTTCTACAAACTCCGGCCTGTAATGGTCTTTTACAAAATGAAAACAAACACTCTGTAATCCTACTAACCCGATTTACATAAATGCTAACATTGTCCTTTGCAGGATGGCGAAGAATCTCGTAACTGGAGGAAGACGACACAATTTTACAGAAAACGACTTGTTTTACATACAATTATGAGTCCACATGGTTAATCAAAAAATCTGCATCCTGTACGCTGCCATCTGCTTCAAATGATGATTAAAATAACAACCTACCTGTCCTTTATTATGCTGCTTTGTACCGATACAAAGAATCATTGATAATCAAGTAAGTTAAAGAAACATAAGCCACCTTGCAGTGCTTCTTCAGACGCAACCCTAATCCACAATAGATTCCGCAGGTGGCGTTATAAATTTCGCCTTTACCACCGTAATACAAAAGGCTATAGTCGTTTATAACCGAGCGAGCATCTGGCGTGTGTTATATAATAATTACAATAATTTAAGTTTCTTATAGACTGAAGAAAGGAAACATATGGGAAGTTGGCTAACTTACGAAAGACATGGGTTGTGAAACGGATAAGGTATATAGCGCGGTGAAAAGGGTAAATTAGTCATAGAGCATTAGCGGGATGAGGATCGGATTTGTCACGACGATGTGCAGGTAGGCGTGAAGCAAAAAAAGGGTTATGTAACTATTATCAAGATGTAGACGTTTAAATTCCTATTACCTACTCACCTTTATATGTGTCATACGGTGGTAGTAAAGGTTTGACGATGCAGTAAAGCGTTTCAGACAAATCGGACACTGATGCGGCTTTTCGCCGCTGTGAATTCGTCTATGTGTATTTAACGATGATGATGTGCTAAATCCTTTACCGCAGACCATGCAGACGTGAGGTTTTTCTCCTGAAACAATGCCGTTAGTGCTTTGAAGCTTCAGCCGGAGGGCTACGCACCGGTATGTGTTCGCATGTGTCGTTTGAGGAGGGACGGCCGATCGAAAGCTTTACTACATACACCACATGGTAAAAGTGCACGTTCTCGAGGTCGGGCCCTTGGTGTTGGTCCGGTAGGTTCGGGTAGATCACCTTGTGAACTTGCCGCCGAACTGTCTCCAGATAGCGATTTTCCTTCGTCTTCGGCCGAAGGGGGTGAATTTGATAGCGCCCTTGACAATAACGACATGGAAAGGTCTAATGGTGAATCTGAAATGATCAACGTCGTTAGAAAACGATAAAAAAGCTCCAGATGAAGACATATTTTCTTAATGTGTTAGAAATTCTATATGTATCTCAAGGAGTGTGCGTGTGAATGCATTTAAGCAATGCGGGACGTTTAATAATCCCAAGCTCGCGTCTGCATCTACCATAAATTACAACTTTTTATCGTTTCCAGAGTTTTCAGGTACGATTTGTTCACAAGCCGTTCCGACTATAGAATGCACTCAATTATCTTAATGCGCTGTATTGTTGCTAGCAAGAATGGCGGCTAAATATGTGTTAGTGATCTCGGTGCCACTTTAACGATTATAAAACCGCCCTTTCCTTTTTCGTTTTATATTAAACGTATTCTTGCACCAAATAAACCACAAATCACTATAAAGGCACTTTCAATTTATATTACGCAGCATAATTTGTAAAGTTATTTTCGGTGTCATGCAAGTGCCATTGTACTTCATGGTGTTTCATAAAAAGTAGCCCTCAGTCTAGAAGAATTTATTAAATAATTAAAATTGTTCAGAAGGAAGAAAATGCAATGAGCATCGAGGAAACGAGTCCCGATAAAGATTGTATTAGTTCAAAAACGATTGGTTACCCCTACAAAAGTCCGTGTAAGCGGTGTGTAAATGACTTTCAAAATAAAAGGTTGGCAAGGTACTAATGTAGGGTTTGCGGCGTTAGTGCATAGTTAACTCCTAAAAAGTAAGGCAATTTAATATACATTGTGTCCAAAATTGGAATCTATCATGGGGATCTCTGGAACCACAGAAGATACGACGATGGCCAAATTAGAGTTAGTAAATTGAAGTTATTGTTGTTGTTGAAGTTGAAGTTATTATCGCGCTTTAAAGAGAACCAGACAAGATATGCCAGAAAAACCGAAATTTTCCGCTTTTAATTCTTTCTGATGTTATTTGAACAGATACAAAAAAAAACACTTTCTCATTTCCACTTTTAGAACTCTATAAGACAGCGTTAAGAGATTTTCAATACAACGTTTCGATTCAGAGAAATCAGCATCAACGTTATTTTTATATGGCCCCTAAAAAAGTACATACTGTATTGAGTAGCATTTTTATTACGAATACAACGAGATACAGGCGACACAGCACAGACAGAAAAGCAACAGTTGAAAATTGTTAGTTTCAACAGGATGGTGCATCCGCGCACAACGCCCTAATCGTGTGAGAATACCTATCGAGCAAATTCAAAGATCAGTAGTATGATCTTTGGCAAATGGAAAGTATGTCCTCTAGATAGGATAGGACCGTGTCAATGTTGAACGAAAACCTTTCGCATAATAAGGACTCTGGTCGTGGAAGCCTCCGCTTTGCCAACGTGGATGAAAATCCTTGGATTATTACCAACCCCGCACGTTAGTAAGGGAGGTATTGTATTGGGGTAAAAAATGACATCCCACTTTTTTTTACGGAAACACGTTTTGAAGCCCCAGGAATCCGAGTCAAACAAAATCTCGATGATGTCGGTCTGTCTGTCTGTACTCTCATTTCCGGCTAAACGGCAGAACTTGATCCATATATTTTTAAACATAACAGGAAGAGCCCAAACGCTTTTGGGCAGAACGCCATGCGCAGGTTTGAGGGTGGTATCTGTGCTAGCCACTGAAATTGAAATTTCCAAATACCTTAGGGCCAAAGGGGAAATTATTCTGGAATATTCTCTATAGAAAATGTATCTTGAATTGTCGAAGGGAATCAACAACAGTAATAAAAACTGTCAACAAGAACTACGACAAGCCAATTGTAAAATGCTTCGCGTCTCTAGCTCTACGTTCCCGCAGATCACCTAAAATTTTGCTCCCTTTCTTTAATTATCTGTTCAGCAAGATAATAGATTGAAGAACGGTTCAAGCAGCTTTCCTTAGCTTTTACGCATCCACCCTTAAATATTAACATTTTTTTAAAAATTCGCTGCTTATTTGATTTTGAAGAAAAATTGTGCCTGATCAACAACAACGATAAAAAAGCGTATGTAAGTATAAAGGCGATTTAAACGACAATAGCTTTGCGCTTATTAAATACAAGGGGTGAACAAACCTCGTAAAATTCTTGTTTCCAGTTACCGATTCCAGTACCATCTATTCAATAATGAAGTTTAGATTCATTATTTTTACGTTTACGAATTTGGTACATATCAGAGATATTTTCCCTTTCAGTGGTGAGTAATCTTGTGGTACGAATTTGAGAACATATACGGGGTTGATCATGCGAACGTAAAAAAGATGCTGCCTTGAATGCTCTCCACACGTGTATTGACAAGGATGTGCCGGGATAATTCGTTCCCGGACAATTCGCGCCCGGAAAATTCGCAGTTGGAAACTTGGTGGTTTTTCTTTGAAATGAATCCTGAAAAATCGATTGCTCGAACTGGAATTAACTGTCTTTGATTTCTCTTAATTTTGTGAAAAAAAATATTTAATTTACTCGTAATTCAACGATTTGATCTCAACATGCATTTTTCCAGGAGTCAATTTTCCGAGGTGCAAATTGCCTTGGGAGCGAATTGTTTGTCCTGTGAGAGCATTGTCCTGGAAATGAATTCTCCGCTTGCCAACTGTCCGGGTGCGAATTGTCATGCGAGTGCATTGTTCTGGGAGCCAATTATCCGGGTGCGAATTGTTCAGGAGCTAATGATCCGGGCGCGAAATGTCTGAGAACGAATTATTCGGGCGGGAATTGTCTTGGGGTGCGAATTGTCCGGGCGCTTTCTAGAGGTTGAGGAAATAACTCCACGCAAAATTTTTGTTGATATGTTGATGAACGAAATCTTCATTTGTTCATCAATGTCATCTAGGAGACCGTAAACATATTACTTTTATCCAGCTGAACTATAGTATTTTACATTATTAGCCAGGTAAGTGGGTTTTTACTGGCGATAGGAGAAGTTGACTGGCGAGCCGTTAGTTTTTCTTTGTTCACCAGTTTTGCGAAAAAAATGTAAATTTGATTTAATGCATTCTGTGTTTTATTTCGTCTTGGTCTATTTTTTTATAAAGTTTTTTGATCAGATACCTACCAGGCTACCGATTTCGTCGAAGAACCGGTAAAACCAGGGGTAAAACACATTGCTTTAATGCACCAGAATTTGCTCCGCTCTCTTTTTGGTAGAGAAAAATCTGCATTTATTCGAAGAATTGTTGGGGATCTACGTTATCAAAGTGGAAGATTATTTCTAAGGTTGATTTTCCAGGGGCGAATACTCCATGCTGCAATTTTGAGACATGTCGAGAAAACAGGAGAAAGTTTGCCATTTATTGAATAAGACAATCAATTGTTTCAGCAAATAAAGTGTATCGATCATGGGCATCTACAAAGATAAATTTCTTCTGATACAAAAAAAGTGGTACAATATTGAAAACCGAGAAAAAACTATATAAATTGAAACCAAAATGGGTGTATATAACTATATAAAGGTTTTTGCACTAAGGCGAGTAACTTCAGCTCATTTTCCATGAATTGATCAGTACTTTCCAAAAGGTCATAGCTATGTGCGCTGTTTTCCTTTACTAGAAGCATCTATGTTTGCAATATCAAAAATGTTTGCCTTTAACAGAAGCATATCTGATTAAAATTTCAAAAAGATATCTCGATAAATAAAAGTTGCTATTGCGCATCCTGCGCATGCGTGCATTAATCTGATGTTTATAATATGCGATACGTTTGCTTTTACTAAAAGCATCTTTGGTTAAAATTTTAAAGAAATTTCTTCTTAAATAAGAAAGTTGACATTGCGCAGTCTCCGCATGCACAGTTTAAATCGTCGAGATTTTCGCTGGCTTAGGTGACAGAGCTTACGCTTCCGAATGCAAAAAGAACGAAGTAAATATCTTGAAAACTATAGGAAGAGCCTCGGACAGACAGGCAGACGGACAGAGAAAGGGGTTGCAACAGCGCACCCAACTTCATCCTCACTGCCGTTTTGTTTTCCATAAAAAAATAAAAGGGCAAGTAGCATAGCAAACATTCAGCCCTGTGATGTATCACTAACGTTAAACTTAACGTGCAAGTTATCTGTCAAAAACGTCATTTTGCCTATACTAAATAACGCAAAATAACGTTTTTTGGCAGCTAACCTGAACGTTTGACGTTTCTGATATTTGTAGTGAAATACAGAGGATCTTTGTGACCATTTTGGTGCCCTTATTATTAGGAGCCCGATTTCTTAGTAGGAGCCCCGACTTCAGGTCCAGTATCTAAAAAGAAGCGAGTCCGCGTAGAAAGTTTTATAGTTCTCGGCTCAGTCGCATTAGAGCACCTCTGTTCAGGTCGTCGCATGATAGTAGAAGTCCAGATGTTTGGTAGATAAAACGTACGTTTCCCTTGGTAACATACAGGGTGTTTTTTTAAAGATGGACCATAGAAAGTACACACCTAGCATAACGCAATGTAAAGGCGTTGAGTTATTTAAAACTCAACGCCTTTACATTGTCGTTCAAAAAAACACCGTGTATATTCGATGAATAATAATACTAAAGATCAAGACGAAATGCGCAATGTATGATGAAATTGGTTAACTTCAAGATCGATTAAAGTAAACAATAACCATGTTTTGGATATATACCACGGGATACGTCACACATCATCAAAGTTTTACAATGAAAGTAGTAATATTTGCGTATTTTCACTCTTGTTTAAATTGAATTCTAAAGCTTTTGCCTTGTGTGGTTAAAAACCGGAAAGAGTCGATAGCTTGAGCTGAGAACTTGGTTGATCTTATAATGACACCTGATGGGAAATTGGCTGAGAACGCTGTCTGAACTAAAATCTGTATTGACATCTTTATTGACCTAACAGTTTCGCTCCCATGACCATTATTGCTAATAATTTTGAAATCTATCGCCAATAACACTACGTTAGTTCCCGTATTATCAAATCAACAATATACTAAAACTGATCACACGAAAAACCAGTTTAGAATATTTAATCAATTCAAAACGGTTAGTCGTTCACTCGATATTTCCCTAATTTGAAAATGTTGGTAGTCTATATACACCAACACTGCAACATTTTACCGCCCATAATCTGTATAAAGTGGGAATCAGGTTTTTCGCAATTTATTTGATTGTATCTTAAATAGAATGACAAAATTTTATACCTATAAGGAACGAGACCGTAACTTACTTATTGCCCATAAAATTGCTTTTTTCTGCAATCATTATTTCGAATTTTTTATTCAACATTAAAGCAACAGGTAAATTAGAGTTTATCGTTACTTTTAAATGCAATAAACCGTTTTTTATTGGCACATAATTTCATCATTGCATAATCTGAGGTAATAAAAAGTTTAAATAAATGCGTAGTTACCCTATCGTAATTCAATGATGGGAAACGTCGATTGTAATTAATTTTTATCAAATTGTAAAAGGCAAAATTGAAGAGCATTCTCGGGTCCCCTAATTAATGTGTGTGTATAAAGCAGACAGCGTGTCGAATCATCAGAACCTTAAGGTGTTTCGAGGGAGCTAGTGTTTTTTCGACAAGATGAAGCATTGTGATCATGGTATTAATTATACCTTGCCGCTGCATCAGACTACACTTTTATTGCTTTTTATTCTCAAATTAAACTTTCCGCTTTGCGCTAATGTATTTTTACCTTCAAGTATTGAGTCCATCGTTTGTCGGTAGAGCGACGCCCGCATCCTTACAAAGAATAGCTCTTCCGGTCTCTCTGGTAAATAGTACACCAACAATTCGGTATCGGGTGGTATTGGTTTAACCACCTCGTAAACTGGCTCACCACCCACTTTGGTGGCTACCAAATTAACTGCGGGATTAAACGAGTTTGCCACCCTAACAAATCGCACCCAATTACAGTGACGCACCCTTCTCGAACCATTTCCAGAGATCTCGTCGTAACAGCCAAAACGATGCCGAATCTGAAACAAAGGCATTACGATCAGTCAATTGTGTCCATCTTTGCTCTCATGACTTAAAGAATCGTGATACAAGAATAAAAATTAAAAGTAAATTACGGTAAGTTAATTATATGTTTAATGTATATTATGTAATGCTTCTGAGGTTAAAGTGTAATTTATTATATTCTTTATTGTGGGAAGTTCAGCTAACATAATATTCAAAATTTTTATAATAGTCAAAATTATTACCTGGGAGCGCAAACGTATATGCGTTTCTGAATATTGAGCCACTTTAGAGTAATTTGCTCGACAAAAAATGTTTCCGAACAAAGCACAGGTGTACATCAAGCTGTGACAATCAAAATAATAGACAGAGTGAAACAAGGATACGGTTATGTTTACGACGTGACAAAAGAATTACAACGTTAGGGTTGGACTATTACCTGTGATGTGGGATCATTAAAAAAAAACCGTCTGGAATCTGGATGAATTAGCCTTATCCTTCCTTTTCTAGTCTTTGGCAATATTTCGTTATGCACCTGTTGGCGCCCAAAGGTTCATTATACGGGAATTCATTGAAATTCTTGTTTTCACACACCGCTTTCCTTGGGGTTTAAAAATGCACATAATGCTAATGCTAATGCATTCCCATAAACACACAGGTACCTTACAGTCTTTGAATAAATTACAAAAAAACCTTTGCATAATTTCAGCTTCCTGTCCAAACGCTTAATTTCTCATTTAGTTTTAAATACCTGCGTGGTTCTATTAAAAAGAACACGACTATACTTTTAAAGTGATGGGAATTTTGTTAGTATGTAGTGTTTTATGGTTGCCAGAAACTAAAATAGATCGATGATGGAAATTGATTGACAGTTGGATGCTCGGCCCATCTGTCGCATTTACTCCTTATTAAATTAATCAACTCACTTTATTTTCTTCGATGAAATGAGCCGTAAGTAAAAGGAAAGCGAGCAGGTACCCTCTAATTTGTTTAATTTAGAATGCGGTTAGAAATCGATTTATAATTGGGATATTAAGGTAATGGAGGAAGCTGTAGACTTAATTATTATGCGTCCACCCAGAAAGTAATAATAGCACCATCGGTGGATCTAAGGATCATATGGTGCAACTTTTACTGGTTCAAAAAAGCAAACCAGAATCGCCATCATTTACAGCAACTTCTTTCTTTAACAATTTGCATATACTCGAGTTTCTGAAGAATCCGCTGAGAGCTATGTTAAAATGGCGCCGCGAAATGAGACACATTTGGGAGATATCCAAGCATGGAACGAACGAATAGTGCGGTGTAAGTATACATTTGAACACATAAATATTGGTACTGACCAAAAAATTTGCGATAGCGTTGTAGTCCAGGTTAACAAAAGGACGCCTTTCCAAAACAAGAAGCTGTTGTAATCGACGATGTGCTCATGAGGCGTGACCAAGTCAAACTTCAGTCGAAATTGTTCGATGATTATTCTCATTTGAAATTTTTGACATGTGAGTTGGTGTGGGAAGGAGCTCTAGCTGAATACGGGAAATGCTGTTCAATGTAACTGGGAACAGTATTTTTAACTGTCCCAGATGGTAAGTTTATCGGATGTACAGAAATTGCGTACGACGTGCGTACGCATCTTAATAATTTCCTCGATTCCTTGTGTAAGGTAGCGATATGAACGTTGAAATTAATGTTGTCCATATTGTTTTGCTGTACAATTTGCCGGCATCGCAACATTTTCAGTACGCTATTGAACCACGTGACAAATTTTACCAAAACCGGAAGCGCTACGCATTAAAATCGTCTGTTTTTAATGTAAGAAATTTAGTCATCGGGTAAGAAACGGTCCGAGAATTTAAGGCAACGCGCGGAAAATCCAAAGTGCGCGAACGACACGTGCTTCTCATTTTAAGGCCTCGTTTTTGCTTATTTTTAATTGTATAATATGAATGCGAACAATAATCTAATTAAAGGCAGGTATGCAAATATTTTATTTATTTATTTATTATTCCTCTGCTCACGATTGAGGTGACTTGATGGAAAACACAATGTAAAAATGCGGAAAAGTTCTTCATTACTTACTTAGGTATCAAATTTTTAGATCCGCACCATTGAATTTTCTGTATTTTCGTGAATGTTTGAGATTATTGTGCAGTTTTTGAATCATCATTTTTATTTTCCAATTGTTGAGTGAGTTTTCTTTAATTTGTTTGAAGTTTTGGAGTTTTGTTTCAAGGTGCAGTATTTCTTATGTTTATATTATGAATAGCGATATGAACCAATAAACAAAAATTTATAATAATCAGATACGGTCTTTGATTCGGTCTTTGGCGTATGTAATTATTATAGACCAGTATAGTATAGTATGAGGGGGATTGATAGGCAAGGTCTCCACTGAGAAAAAATAGTGAGGATATGAACATGAACAAACATCCATCTAGTTCATAATTTCGCATGTAGTTAATTAAAAATGTCGCAAATAACAAAAAAATAACGTTTTAAGTCGATTATGATTAAATGATCACAAACAATTCGATATGTCGATCATTAGTCGATTCCATTCGGTTCCAAAAAAATGTACATTGTAGGGTTCAATTATTACAACCAATAAGCACTCTTCCAAAGATCATAGTATCAACTTAAATCGTTATTTTTTTGTTATTTGCGACATTTTCAATTAACTACGTGCGAAATTAGATCACTCATTAGTAGGCGGGGGACAATTTGTGACCCATGGTCCAATCTTCAAATAACTTTTGTATGAAAATTGATTTTAATGGATTTTTAATAAACTGTTCGACAATTTTGTTCCTTAACTCATCAAGTCTGTACAATTGTACACAACGAATTTCGTGGAATTCTATCCATTTTCGTTATACGAGCAAGAATTCCAGTGGAATTTTTTTCCAATTTTGAAAGAAATTTCAGATTCGTGATTTTCATGTTCACAAACCCCCAGGTACGAAATTTCGTCGAAATCAGAATTTTTCGCACCCCCTGCGCCTTTTCGTGTTAGGAATTTTGAAAAAATTTCTGCAAAATCGAAAACCTATTCAAAGGAGTACCACCAGTCTTTCTAACTCCTATGGTTGCTGAAAAAAAATTAAAGAGAAAATGCAACTTTCACACACGTTTAACCCTCAGTTTATTTGGAAAAAAGTGTTTGGTTTGATCCCCTCTACCGCCCAAATTGTTTTTTACATACTTCTATGTAACACCTTAGTAGTTGAGGTATCCTCCAATAGATAAATAATTTAAAAAAAGATTTGGTTATTTATAAGTACATCCATACATGATTGTGTCACCCCAAAAACTTAAGCAATTTGACCATCACCGCCGTGGTTTTTGCTGATTGGGCTCTAGAGAGCAACTTGAAATTAATCCTGCAAATGAAAATTTAATTTGATCCTGCAAAACGAAGCCGAGGTGGACATTTGAATAATGTTACTAAGTTGTATAAAAAGTAAAAAAAAAACGTTTGCATGGTTTTGCCTTAAATATTTTATATTTCGTTTATTCTATTGGGAAGCACTTTAATTCACTATTACTATTATTTATTTACCACTTTTAATACCCTCTAAGGCGCTTATAATAATCTCTTATTTAATGTAAATTAAATTCAATTTATTCAAAACTCAAAAGGGACCGTTATTTATGTTGTAAATTCTAATAAAATTATAATTTTAGTGTATTATCGTTTCGTATTTTTCTACATTTTAATTGATCACGATCGATTAGTTAGATGTATTTTTAATGTATATCGAAATATCCAGACATAGTGATGAACCTAACAACATTTTCTATGTTTTTTCTCTTTCGGATCAATGTTCTTAAATATTCCCACGTAGGTAACTGTTGTACAAGTAGTGTACAATTTTGGAACTAGACGCAGTAAAATTGAAAAATGAAAGCGCAAGGATCAAATTATTCATAAAATTCGGATTAACATAATAGCTCCTACCATAAAATTTTACTTTAATTACATTCGACATGAATATTCGACTAGACTTTTAACATTTAACGTTTATATTTTGATTTAATTTAAAATGCGTATCTATAACTGGTAGCCTTTGTACTTAGCGAAACAAAAAGCAAAATCAAACTAATAATTGAATTCTAAATATTTCCCGTAGGCAATTAAATAATCGACCATGTGGTTTTTTCAACGGTTGCGATGTATATACGATGATAAACTTTATTGGATGTATATAGCTACTGAATAAATGCATCTAAAATAGTTTAACAACACACCAAGCGGTCCCGAATTACAAGAAAGGATCTTTAAGGAGGAGCCTGTTTTTATAATGCCTAGGTTCTATTATATTCGTTTCACTGGTTATGGTTACACTTAATTAAGTTCTTATTAATAAAGAGGAATCCTTTTTATATTGCGAAACAAAGCTCCTAATGAAATAGTAAACATAAATTAAGGAAGTGGATTTATGAGAAAAAAATTATCACCGCGAACAGGTTTGTAATCGAACCCACCATTGAAATCTCCACGAGCTTTGTGATCTCGCATTTCATCGACAGAATGGAAGAAATTACAAGTTGTAATCGGTATTATCTTACTTTGATATCTTTTCAAACTCCCTGTTTTTTTTTAAATCTTTAATTTTGTAGCATTACCGAAACAGAAACCATATAATTGCGGACCCGGTTTCATATATAACGAATCCGACACGAGGTCCTACTGCTGTCTTCCAGTATCTTCTTTTATATTTGCCGCCATTGTTTTACGCTACTGCTAATACATACATGTATACGTTTGCAGCATCCGATATCTTTTAAGTCGCCGCCTTTCAATTGCTACTGTTTTATCTTTGTGCATAGGTAAATCTCATTCTTTTATAATTTATCGTCAGCATTTCTCAATGGAGTGAAAAATTTCTAAATGTTAATTGAACTAATTTTTTTCCTTTTTTCTAAAAGGTATTTAAACAAACTTAGCTATCGTTCGCATTCTACCTAGTGCGTCGTCGTGTTGAAATTAAAACCGATCATTTATCACGCAACTTGT